TATTTGGTATCAATTTAAGGCTCTTATCCTCTACATGTCCTCTACATACATACAGGCACAACTCTATATGTGCCTTTTTTTCGGGTTTGAATGATATCCCGTGAAAACCCTTCGTCCTATAGGCTTTTATAATTTCATAGTTTGTGCTCAATTCTGGTGTTAATCATCTGAACTTGTTTCAAGTTTACATTTGTTTACATCAAAAAAGATGGCCATGATATAATTTTGTTTACATCCACACGAAAATGGGGCTATCGTTCGCGAACCAGCATTATCGGACTATGCGAACGGGGGTTTATGGGGGTTTTCATAGGGTAAAAATTGATTTTTCCCATTTTTGATCCTAAAAACAGAAAATTTCATAATTTCTCTCCAAACCATTTTGTAGAGCTTAAAAAAACAAATAACTTAGTATATTGAAGCATTATTATGCGCCTAATGGTTACGGAGAAAAAGAAAAAAAAATTAAAACTCCCATGTTGTTTTTATGGAGAATAGTAAACTGTTGTAGTTTTCTTGTTTATGATCATATTTTGATCAAATTTAGAAAATGTGTATTTCTTACTAACAAAAAAAAAAAAAAAAAACACTTTTACCCTCTCTGTTGCAGCATAGTTAGGTATTTCATAAACTAATGCTATTTTAATATGATATTTTTAAGGATACATTTGAGTGTAAATCCAATCAGGCAAATGGAAATTCGCTTAGTCTGCAGGTTTGCTGCGGAGGAGTTATTTGAACATTGCTCGGTCTTGCAGCAGAGTCCATGGGTATAATATATATAACACTAGTGTTATATAGTCAATGGTATAATGTCATTTCTTACCTAGGTTTTCTAAATGTACAGGATTTTGCACATACTAAAGAGCATATTCTTGTTTTATTGTGGTAAGTCAAGTCTTATAGCAGAAGCAGAGTGAAGGTGTATTGAGTACTTGTTCAGTGTGTTTGATTACCCATTTATAGAATATTAGGAACCAATAAATGTAACCGCATTCATTGTTCATTCATTCATTTGAAGGCGTTTAACAACGTTTGGCCCTCTAATGTTCTTTAGGCACAGATATGTGTATTAACTTTTTATCTGTTAGTAGAAGTGGAAATAATATGATTAAACTTACTTTTTTTTTAGCTGATAGTGTTTTTGTTGCTGCTGTAACTTTCATGGTGTGTCAACAAAGTGCATGCTTTGACTGCTGTTTTCTGGTTGATTTTTAAGGTTAGGGGTTAAAAAACTGTTTTGTGTAGATGCTTATGAATTCATAAATATTAGTTTTTTGTAAAATGTAAAAGTGAAGTCATAATAATACATACATTTGCGAGATTAAAACGTTCCCATTTTTGTACGAATCCAAATGTGGTAGCAAATAACATTGTTGATTTGGCATTACATTTGGGCAAATAATGTGCACGTTATGTGTACGTTATGATCCCACTTGATTGTTAGTTTTGCAGCCCTCTAAAAAGGACGGAAAAAGAATAAACTATCGTAAAAAAAGAGAAAAAAAATTAAAACCTTTTTTTAGTTTTAATACCCGTGTTTCAAAATTTGTAAAATAATTTAATTTGAAAAATGTATAATGTGTTACACTTGCTTTCTCCCACATAGTCTAATCAAACACACTAATGTCCACCTATGTGTACACATTATATTGCGCCTACTATGTTTAAGGTGCCACATTAGAGATTCGTGCACGTTTGTGGGCAATAAGTTGTTTGAACTAGAATTATATTATATATACATTTATTTAATTTTTTTTAGATTAATTTGAAAGCTTAAAAAATAAGAAAGAAATCCCACCGACATTGAAAAAACTTTTTTTAAACTTGTCCCTGAAGAGGTTAAACATTCGGATCAAAACATCCTACAAACAGAAAATCGGAGAATTCCCTCTTTAAATGGTGACAAATATCAAATTAATGTTATAAAAATACAATAACAAAACTGAGTCATTGTCCAGTAAAGGTTTATTTCACATCTGCCTACACAGTGTTACTGATATTTTACATTTCCATACTTTATCGAGTTTATATAGCTTCAGAATGGTCTCTCAAATGGATTGGAATAATTACTTGTCAAAAATAGGGCTGAAAGTCAGTGAGTGCTATGTTGTGTTTGGTGGCTAAAATCTAATTCAATAAAGGATCTAAGAAGTGTTCATGTATGCTAGAATGTTTTAATAGATCTTTATTTCATAAATATTGGATAGCAAAGTTATTAAAATTGTTCCATCCCGGAAGGGGAGCCTGTTGCCCAAAATCCCCTATACTATTTTTCCCCTAGTGCAATTTTCATTACCAGAGAATATTTCTATGATAAATGGTAATTCCATACTAGTATGTTTCTGCAATTTGTTATGCAGCCCAAATACAGACATATCTTTGTACAGTATAAATTGTATATCACAATGTATAGGTTATCTCTGGGAGGATTGGATTTCTCACTACATGCACTTATCGTAATTAGGCCCTAACCAACCTGATTGAATTGATGGCCTATGATTGATATGAACTATGAACACGTTCTTTATGCATTATATTTTCCTATTTTTTATCTATTGAAGGGGAAATGAGTCTAGTATTGAGGAGATGGGAGTGTTGCACGACGTCCAATGATAAGTCAGTGTCACGACGTCCAAAATAAAACTTTTGAGCTGTCTCACGACGTCCAACATTAACTATTCGGCTGTTGCACGACGTCCAAATCTCATCATGTCCAAAAGTACAGTAACTGCAAGCTGCAAGAAACATAGTCTTTCTATAAGCTTTGGATGTCATGGGATTGGTCGTTGTGCAATAGCCCATTTTATACTCTTAAAGTTAAAAACATAACAGTAGCACTACGTCCAAAGCCGCTGCCAGTTGCACGTGTATTTTTGCACGTGGACGCCCAGAGCTCCTGCATTTGGAGCAAGGTTAGATTAGGTTAAGTTAGGTTAGGTTAGTATGAACTACGGTAAAATTTAGTTTGCACTGGTTTGGTAAAACAGTACTCATAGTGTGAAGGCGCTCTGGACTTCGTGGGACAGCGCTGATAGCCATGGGACGTCCATTGATGTATAATAACTCCCATCGATGGGGACGTCGTGCAAATACTACTTTTTGAAGAGTGTAAAGTGCGCTGCTTCACGACGACCAATCTCAAGACGTCGAGAGTTTGTAGAAAGACTATGTTTATTACAGTTACTATACCTTTGGACATTGTGAGATTTGGACTTGGCGCATCAGTCAAATATTTTATATTTGACGTGAAACGGCTTTAAAAATGTATCTAATGAAAATAGTCAATGCCATAAATATATTGCGGAGACATGTTGAGCTCATTCACAGTACCTTGATTTAGTGATAAAACAGGTTGAAATTAAAATAAACCTGAAGAACAAAACTAACCTTTGTTATTTCTTGTTTGAAATATTAAGTCATTTAATTACCTTGTATGCAGTTGTTCTAATACCAAAAGACGACTTCATGGGATCTTTAAAAGCCAAAGGGGCAAACCCCATGGTTAAAAACCAATCTTTTTCCTTTCTTTAGTATAGATTAGAACTTAAAATAACTAAACTTGTTAATTCACTAATAGCTATAATTAATAATAATGGTTTAATTCATTAATATAGGTACATGTAACTTATAAAGGGCCCTTTATTCTTAAATAGCATTCATTACTGAACTTAATTCCTAATAAACTTTACCAAGATGTTATTTTAAATTATTAACAAGGCATCGTGAATAGGGAATAGGCTACTACCTTAGCTTAGGTCTTAGACCTAGACACGGGGTCGATTTACTTTTTTGGAACGACAACTCAAGTATAAATAAACAGATTTTTATGACATTTGTTATAAACTTACGTTTATTCTAATAAGTTTGCAAACCAGCATGATTGGACTTTGAGAACGGTTTTATTGGGTAAAGAAATATTGGGGTCTCCCCTATCACAAAATGTTGCAATTTCTTTTTCAGAATTCAGACCATTTTTAGAGCTTACAACAAAAATAGTTTATCTTATTGAAGCATTGATGTCCGAGTCCGCTTAAATTAACGGAGAAAATTGAACTAATAGAATGAGAAACTGAACAATTTAAAATTTAACTGTATTATTACTATTAAAATAAAAAATACAGATGTGTTTGGAACCTGTTGAGTGATTTTTTCAACTAACAGTCTAAGAAAATGTTGTCTAGAGTTTTACGACAGTAACATTTTTAAATCTCCCCCGCAAATTATGCCTCTGGCCTCGTACGTACTCTGTACCTGACTTCCCAGTGTTGCCCCCCCCCCCTTCCGCCTTAGAATCTTATCGCATACACCAGTGTGCGGTTATGACGTATGTACCATTTCTTGACAGGATCGTTGTTACTTTTTATACCTTACGAATACAATAGTCATAATCAGTGTTATGTTGAAAATCTTAATAATATACAGATGTCTGTTTTATGAATAATCGGCAAATATAATCAACATTAGCTTGAATGAACTGAGTCGATAGAGACTATAATTTATTTTCCCGCTGACTGCTCGCCAAGATGAGTAAGGGCAGACTGGCTACGACCAACCCCTGTTGTCAGATGTTAAAAAGAAATGAAGAAAAAACTACCCACGCCGTTGAATGTGTGCGCACACGGGAGCGAGAGAGGGGAATAAACATAGTTACTGGCTTTATCCCGCGCTGCGGACCCACGCGACGTCCTATAACGTCATGGCAATTTCGTCACAGGCAAAGCTGAAGGGTCATAGCGGCGAACGCTCACGAAATGCTTCCCGAATAGAGCCGATCTTTATATTTCCAACAAAATACTGAACTGTTGCCGGAGTCGACCGAACTCACCCGAACGTCTAGAAAAAAAAGTATTTTAACATAGGGACCAATAGAGAAGCAGCGCCGATGTAGGGGAAACCCGGGGCGAGAGACTGGTGGGGTGGTGACCGGAGGGGAGGGACAACGTGGCGAACCGTGCGGCCGTCAGCAGAAGCTCAACAGTCGACAGTGTGAGTTTTGTGAGCGAGAGACATTAGCAGTGTAGACTGTAGCTGTATCGTGGACTCGTAATGTGCTCTACTAGAAACGCGTCATGGCAACTGGATAAACCAAACAGCAATGTGGAGTGATTTTCAGGTTAGTTATTGTTATAGTCAATCAACATTAGACTTAACTCTTGAATTTATCAAGTGTTAAATTTACGGCAGGATGCGAAGTTCTAAGTGTCATGCGATTCCTTGAATTAGATTTCATGAAAGTTGTTTTCTATCGAGTTATTATGTTAAGAAAACCAAATTTGTATGTAAAATATGTATATTAGTAGGCAAATAGCCTATATCTTTTATTTTTTGTTTTTGGATTTACTGTAGCCTAAGTTGGTGATAATTAGTTGAGCATATTAAATATCCGTGTAAATCAGTAAAAAAAAATAGTACAATATTTATATTTCAAGCATTTTATAACAGTTAACACAGTTTCATGCTAATCCCAAAAATTACATTTTTATTGAGATGTACCTATTATTTGCAAGGTTTTGTTTCCTTGTTGACCACTAGTTCAGCCTTGGAAAGACAAACAAGTTTGTTTTCCTTTACGTTTTTGGACGTAGCCTAAGTAGGGGTTGTTTGTGAGATTTCCATTGTTGTTATCAGTGAGGTAGTTGTGATAACGGCGTGGTCCGTGTCACATGCGTCTTTTTGAATGTAGCGCCTGACAGTTCCAGGGGGGAGGGGGCATTGGAAACCGCATTCTTTTCTCCTTCCGTCCCCTCCACGGACGACGAAATAAAGAAAGTTGGTCCGACAAGGGCGCGCGGGGTGCGGGGAAGTCGTATGTCACAACTTACACGCCGTCGTCATGGAAACTCTGGCGTAAACAGACTCTAGGCGGCAATTCAAACTTTCAACTTGTTTACCAGATTTCGGCATTCTCTTTTTACAATATTGTAATCAGAAGGGTGGTGGCAACCTTGTTTTCATCCTGTAAACATTATCAACACGTTGCTCAATTGATTGAAACTATTGTTCAAGCCCATTGACTCAAAGTTTACCCAACGTGGCTTTATTCAATGTATAATTTTCAATATTACGCTATAGTTAAGCTATATATTGATATATTACAATTGTTAATTTTTATTTTATATCCATACCAACCTGAAAGCACAAAAATATACGTCAAATAACACTTATAATAATATATTTACACTGATACTATTTACACACATGACGGTAATGCATATAAATGGTACAAGTGGTGATTGATTTCGATTGGACACTCTAATCATCATCAGACCCAATAGGCGAATGATGATCAAGAAATTATTTTAAGAATTATAAGGACTATCACATGATCTTTTAAATCAAAGCCGGCTTTTTTAAATACGATTTTCTTATTTTATGGGGTTTTATTAGAAAATAGCATAAGTTACAAAAGCTTTTGAACCGTTGTTTTTTCAGAAATGTGAGTTCTACCATTTTGTTCAGAATTTCAAGGGATACAACATACTAAATTGTATCAAAATTCTGGCCATTTTTGATAAAATTTGATTTTTCTATTAATTTATGGTGTTTTATGGGAAAATCCCCATTAAAAATCCAAATTTCAAACAAATGAAAAAAAAAACATTCGGAGATACCATGGATAAATACCCACATTATGTGGGCCACATAGCAAATTTCATAAAACTCGGGCCACAGGTGTGGTCTGTACTACTGTACAGTACACATCCGCACATACAGACAGACAGTCACACACACGCACACGGACATACATAAATTCGTAAACCACTTTTTTTGGGTTCAGGAGGGCCCAAAACGGATATATCCACTGAAAATTTTACCTCGAAAATGTTGACGAAAACAATACTTTCTCCATATAAGTACTATGAGAACTTTCTCCGGATGTAGGGGGAGGAAGTAATAAAACTAACATAAACATAGGCCTAGGCCCTTTTTTAAACATAGAACTTCCAAAACATTTCATATTTTAAGTACAGGTTTTCACTTAAACTATATACAAATTTAGAAATTTTAAAAGTTAAAACAAAATATAGTAGCCTAGGCTACAGTAAAATCTCCTGTATGGGCACAAGTTTAGGCAATGTCACATCAGCTCAGAAATCGTATTGGCCTATTAGCAAAGTTTAATGGATTCATCGCGGTTTCAAAATTTCAAACTGCTGAAAAAGAAAGAAAGAACTAATCTTAAAAAAAATTTTGAACTAAATAGTTGATAGTATATAGCACATATATGTATCTTAAACATCCAACTTTCAATTTTTCTCTTTGGCCGTTAGGCCTTGTTTTTTACTGACGTAAGTTATTTAGTGAATTAGTTAGTATGCCAATAGTGCTATTATAATATATATTTTCAGCATAATACGACCAAGCACGGTTTATGCTTTACAGTACCTAATGAAAAACACATTCTAAGTTATAGTGCGTTCTTTTTTGCTTTCGTGTACCTACTGGAATGCTTCAATTTTATATTTTGGAATTACTAACTCTTAAAAAAGTTCTTTTCGGTATTTTCATCAATTACATACTTAGCAACAAGCATTTAAAGTAAATCTTCATTGCTGTACAGTAGGCAACGTCTTAGGTACGTTATTGCGTAACAATTAACTTGCTAGGTTGAAATATTAGTTTTATTAGACGAAGAGAGTGGACGAATAGAAAATGGAAAATAATATAATAAAACTATCTGACCCGGCGAACTTCGTATCGCCTAAGTTATAGGTTTCCCCTAAGACAGACCGATGGAAAGAAAGTACCGTTACGTTTAATTTTCAAGATGATCTCGTTCGCATCGTTCAATCACGTCCTGGTTGAAGTTCGTTCGCTACGCTCACTCACCGTTGGGTTGGAGCTCGTTCGCTGCGCTCACTTGCCTTTAGGTTGGAGCTCGTTCGCTACGCTAACTCGCCTCCAGGTTAGCTCGTTCGCTACGCTCACTCGCATCCAGGTTGAAGTTCGTTCGCTACGCTCACTCACCTTTTGGTTGCAAATTAGCTGTTGTCATAAATGTAAAAGAAATAATAGTGCTGCACCCTGTTGGTAATCCTTGTAACTTTAATGCTATTTAACATCATAGAACAGAACCAACTTGTTTAATTGAAACAGCTGTTAAGATTCATTAATTCCATTTCTCATAAGGTTAACATGGGAAACTCCAGAGCCACTGGGGCGGAGCCCTTTTAAGAATTTCGAAACGGGAAATAGTTTACGTCCGATTCGCATACCTACAGAATTTACACACCAAATTTCATTACGATCGGTGAAGTCGTTCCGGAGGAGTTTGCAGACAAACACTGTGACACGAGAATTTTATATATTAGATGTGTTTCCATAATTATTTTGTTTTAAGATCCCTTGTTACAGATGTTTAACATATCAGGTAAATTGGGGGAAAAGTAACTACTTTTATCAGTACAAATACTTCAATATAATGCCTGATTGAAAATTGGCAAACGGTAGTTAGCATCAGTATCCTCAAAATATTACAGATACCCAGTGTCTGTGTGCATTTACTTTAATGCCAGTCCTTCCTCGTCGTAACATCAACTGTTCATCACATCGCTGACAACACAAATACAAAACCAGACATTTCTCCACCAGCCGACAAGTGAGAATTATCAGAGAAATCTCAGTTAAATTATTATCCTAATCATTATGGACACTAGGGTCTACTCGTTGAAGGACTTCTCGAACACCTAGTCATCAGATAGATGACAACACAAACACAAAACCCGACCTTTCCCAACCGGCGCGGCGGAGTGATACGGTGGCGAGCGACGCGGCTAGTATATGAATGAAAGATAAGGAGCGGTACGGGACTGATAAGAGACACGTGCGTGCGTGAGTGTAGTGTAGTGGTTGTGATCAGTATGCGGTGTCGGTGTGCAGTAACAGGTCAGGTGTGGCGACTGGCGGGAGAATGCGACCACCTGATTGGTCCGCGGCGCGTGTCTCCGAGACTGATAGATGGCCGGGTGGGGGGAAGTCTTCCGCACAATCATGTCGTTGTCGTTTGTCAATAACAATAACAACAATGTGCACTGTGCACTTGTGCAGTCCAAGTCAGTCGCCAGGTCGTCGTCGTGGTCGTGCCGCATCCCGCCTCCCGCCTCGCATCTGCTACTTGTACGCGACGTTTCTGCAATATGCCTAGTACAGAACTGTACCGATACACTACTGTTATGAATAAAAATTATAGCTTTCTGATCCGAAATTCCGTACCGGTAATTCACTCGATCTAACAGCAAGCACTGAGAGTAGATTTTTCAGTTTAATGTGAATTGGCAAAGACCAGGAGAAATTTGATAAAAATTGGTACAAACGTGCAAACCTATGTTTATTCGAACGGATTTTCGAAGGGTTTGGGATCTGGGGTTTTTGGTGTGTTTTATGTGCTAAAAATTATTTTTTCTTAATTTTGACCCTGTATCATAAAATTCTACAATTTATTTTTAAACCGTTTTGTAGAGCTTGAAAAAGCAAATGATTTAGTATATCGAAGCGTTATTATGCGCTTATTCGAACGGAGAAAATCTATAAAACGGTAAACTTACAATTCCCTTGTTATTCTTAAGAAGTACAGTATAATTGAACTGCCGTTGTTTGATTGTTTGTGTATATATTTTAATCAAATTTGACAGTTGTGTTTCTTTCATACTATTAACATAAGTTATCACTATTTTAATAAAACACCTAAGTAAGTATTCATTAGAATTAATGTAGGAAATAAATCTGACAATTTAAGGGCATATTTTAGTAGGACAGCCAGGTAAATGGAAATTCGCTTAGTCTGCATGTTTGCTGCGGCGGGGTAATTGTAACCATCATTGTAACTATACTGAAGCATCTAATCCTACGCAGACGACAGTTCTTGATTGATTCCACCGTGGCTTTTAAACTAGGTAATTAAATCAGTGCTGTACAGTATTCTCAAGTCTAAAGTTTAAGTAAACATTTTAATCTATTAACAATTCTAAGAACAAAATTCTCTAGGAACGCAATATATTACAGTAGGCCCTATCAGTGTTCTCCTCTAGGGGCTATGTTGTTGCTACCGACCAAGATTTAACTCTTTTATCAATAACAATAATACTGTAATATAGGATTGAGGTACCCGTAAATAAAATATAATCAGTAATAATTTGTATTCTTGATTATATTGTATGGGTACCTAAATCACGAAGTTGGGCCAATTATATCTGTACTGTATCAGGTTTCACTTTTTTATTGAGACATACAAATAATTTTCATATTAAGCTGAGTTTAAATGTTTATTTGGGATGTTTGACATTTTCCTTGCTGTATAAATTAAACACTTTCCTCCATAAAAAAAAACACTTTTCCTCCGTTTCATTTCCCTCCCTTAAAAGTGATGGCTCTGCCTTTATTACTCAACTTATTCAACGAATTAAAACTACAATTTTTTAGGGTAATATAGGAAATCTTCTTGGAAATTTCAATACATTTTTCTAAACAATAATTCTACAGATCATACGGATCTTACTCATCCCAATTCTGTAAACGTCCATGTCTCCGTGTAGGCTATGTTATATTCGTAGACAACGTGCGAGCCTTGTAGTGAGTTCCTTTCCTAGTTTCTACAGTGGTCGGGGGTCGGCGGCGGCTGGCAGAGGCAGAGACGGGCAGCTGGCGGTCGTTGAGGCGACACTAGCGCCGAGCTCTCGCAGTGGCAAACCCTGCAACGTCTCCCTCACCACACCGCCGCTTTTTATACCAATGACGCGCCAAGGTTTTCAACTTTTTCTGAAGACCGAGCCGCGCTAGCCAGCGATATTCTCACTCCACTCCTATAAACTCCAAGCCAAAGAATTTATACTAGTTTCAGTTTGGGATGATCAAAATTTTCTATGACGGTAATCTCTCTACTGTTTCATAATTGAACTTTACAAAATACGTAATGACGAATAGTGCCTTTTGCAATCATTTTGCCGTTTGCCATTAGATTACATTTAGTTTTGAAATGTTTCATCCCTAGGTTTATAAATTTCTTTCTTGTTCAACTCAATGCCATAACATATTAGAACAATATTAGAATAAACTAGGGGTTTATCTCGTTGATACGACATAACTTACACCAGCTATAATACAATTTCGTAATTTGCTTTGCCACAAACTCATTTCACGACACTTTTTGTGAAACACTTGCGATAAAATCGAAAAACAATCTTTATATACGACAGGTCGTTCAAACGCCTAACTCCAGAGTGTGCGAGAAACTAACTGTACAGGTGTATAAGGAGTTTAAATACCGGCGGGAAGTGGTTGTGCCGCGTGGAGGGGGGGGGGAGTGACGGTCGAGTGAGTGATAACGTATCAGGTGTTATCATATCAGCTGATTGAGAGCCCGCGGCGCGCCGGTGACTGTTGCTCACCTCCCCGCCTCCTACTTGTCAACAGACGACACCGGTACCAGTTTTTTCATTAAACAAATCATGTCTTCCGGTGCATAGTAATTCGGTGTCTGTGTCTCAAAAACTTTATGCGGTAGTACAGAACTTGTGTTTTTTATTGACTAAATTGACTTACAGTTTAGCATTGAATTTAATCATCATATTTAATTTTGGTAATACATAGACGGCAAACATAATAACGTTGTATAAATATACTATCTACATATTTTTGTTTTTAAAATTGTATTACGATCCATACATAAAATCAATTTATCGTCCATCAAAATAAGTCTACTGACATTCAGAGGAGGATTAGGTAATGTTGTCGGAGGACTGATTTAAAAGCATTTAATTATTGCCCTTCTTATACTATTTCATATTTCAGTTACCTATAAGGTTTTATAAGGTCTTACTGTCTATAACGTAATCACCGTATAGCCTACGCTGTCAAACACACATTGATTTTGACATACGACTACGTCGTAGAAGAAATTAGATTTTTCGTGCAATCACTGTAGTGTTGTCTCGAAGCTAAATATTACATTGGGTCTACAGTACACTGTAGATATCCTCGCTCGTCGGCTCGTAGTCCCCGCAGGAGCCCCCGTCGTCGCTCGGGAATGTTCGGTTTCTCCGAAGCTAGTCGAGCTTTCACCAGCGTTTCCTCTTCGACCCTCGTCAGAGACTGAGTCATTCCACTTCGCTCACCGGGCTTTACGTAAATCTTTAGACTCGGGTTTATAATATACAGTGGCGTTATGCTTCCAACCCGGATATGAAATGAAAACTACTTTTAAAAGCCAATGGAATTTTATTCTAATTCTGAAACAAAAACAAATTAGTTTTCGATATACTGTAACATTCTGTCGTTGCACGATGGCTAGTTCTTTTATTTTGTAATGACACGTTTCAATCACAAACCAAATCAATTAGTGGTTATTGAGAGAGCTTTACAAACTGTATCATTTTAAACCAGAACTGAGACTACGATACTAATATTTTTGTTTTGAATAAGTTGTTTCTTATAGAGGTACACACAGCCCGTCTAAATTAAAGTTATGTCAGCTCAATTTTGCTTTATAAGTTTTAAGCTATATTATTATTTATGTTTTGTTAATTTATAAAATGTTTGTTTCAGTTTGTCTCAAAGAAAAAAAAGTTGAATGAATACGCCAGAATTTATGATTGAGGTAAACAGTGAATGTATACACTATTTAAAATTGTTTTATATATTAATTATATCAGTGATTAAAATAACCCCTTTTGCAATCAAAATTTAATTTTACTTGACTGGTTGAAATCTCATTACAGTACCGGTACTTTGAATGTTGTTTTGGAAGGTTAGCTACACTATTAATATTGAAATAGTGTTTAATTATTTTATATAATATAGCTACTGTATATGAGCGCAATCGCAATGATCATTTCCTAAGACTAACTTACATTGTCCGTAGTAATAATTTGTCCACAAAAATGTGTCTTACTTTTCACAGACTTTTCTCTAAGACGGTTAAATATTTCTTTGAATGTATTCTTTCGAAAAGATTGACTTTCTGGAACGGGAATAGCGCTAAAAATATCTTGGGACGCGTCTTTCAGTGGCACCTCGTCTTAACATTGACCAAATTTGTTTCTTTTACGTTTCTTCACCCTGTGCACTTTTTTGAGAACTCTGAAAAAATATTAAACTAGTAGGCCTATCTATGTTTTTTTCACACCTCCAATAAAATTTGACTACCCTTGCTGTTTCGTTTCTATCCAGTGTTACAGAGAAAACACCGCAGTGCGTACTTGAAGCTGTCAGTGATAAAACTGACATTTTTCGTACCTCTTTCTATTTTTCCCGATGTTTAATTTAAAATGTTTTATGTCGAAAGTGATTTCTTTCTGGAGAGTCAGCCAATGTCATAAATGATGATACCATGTTAGATTGAGTATTTAATGAGCTCCAATCGGCAATCCCAAAGCTGCTACGTGGAGGTGGATGATATTTTTTACACACTCGTTGTGTCAGGTAGCCAGGTATATAAGGCAGGACTCGGTGTGTAGGCACCCCAACTTCGCTCTCCGCCGCGCTCTCTCTTAGCTCGGGTACCCAACCAGAACGACTGGCGGCGCAGCACTCGCTGTGTCCGTTACGTTACACCACCATCGCTACTTTCAATTACACTCCTACAACTTTAAAAAATAAAACCCGATAGAGTGGTGATGCGGTGGCTTGTGTATGTGTCATGTACACAGGGTGACAGGGACGTCGGCGTCGGCGATGGACGAGTAACAGGTAGATGATTGTATTTTGCTGTTGCGGGAAGAATGTGAGTGTGACGGGCCGCGGCCGAGCTGTGGTGGAAGGGGGGAGAACAGGTTTCTGGTTTCTCAAGTAGGCTACGACTACGGCCCCGCGGCCTCGGGCTTTCCCGCGCTGGGAAATTCAAACGTTTATTATTTTGTATTACTGTATTAAAATAGTGTGTCTTACAGACCAGTGCGATTACTAAAATAGTTTACATTAAATAAATGTACAACCTTTTACAAGTTGTATCAAATATTCTGTGTCTAGACATAGCGTAATTATATTCGCTTCAGTTTTACTTAACTCCTACCAAAAAGGGCGACAAATTGTTAAAAGTGCGGCCTGAATTGTTAACCCATGCTACAGTCCAAATTTATTTTTGGTAATTAACATTGTGTATTGGTGTATAAATCAGGCGTTTTAGCTATTGCAATATATGTTTATAGCTTTCTATACTGTATTATGTCCCCATCTCAATATTGATATTGATAATGATAATATGGCAAATTATTATTGAAGAAGCTATCATACATTCTCTGCTTATTAGCTGGAATTTTAATTTTCAAAATTACGGATTCCCTAATAGAAATGTACAATATGTATGCATTTACAAAATATATATAATAACACAAATTATTATAATTATTTTCGTTGGTAGTAGTTTATATAAATAATTGATATATAAAAACCAACTTTTTGCATTATCCATCCAAGAGACAAACCGTTTATAACAACTGACTTGTATTGCGAGTGCGACAAGAAGGCAAGACAGTTATCAGTAGTTTCAGTATCACACTGTCCAAGGGGCAACTTCTGTGTGTCAGTCACTAGAACTGTAAATAACCTAACAGCTGGCCACTGACTGCCACTACACCACTACCCGCCAATATTAAAATACCCGCCAATGTTTACTTTTTCACAGTAACATCTTTATAAACTTGCGGATTTGTATTCAAATGCAGTTTTTGTTCAAATAAATTTATACTAAACTATTTATAATAGGCAAAATCTATTACGAGATATATCTTATGTTTACTGTGCACCAGTATAACTTACTGAAATACACGTAATTTGACAGCATATTATTTTACTCTTATGTAAATTAATAATATCATTGACTTATGCACACTGAAGTAAACATCCCATCTATCCACAGCTCACAGCTGTGAACAATTTTTGATATACAAAAAGTAGAAAGAACCACCGACAGAGTGGCAACAGTCGAAGATTCTAATTCTATCTATTCTCTTACTTATTTTTTATTACTGCCTTAGTCTCTATGTGGTGAAAAAGATTCACTAATTCTTAAGTTATCATTTTAATTTGGTTTAGTTAAACAGATTTGACGTATTCCACAGTCTTATCACAACAAATAATTAATTTTCATTCTGAAACTGGCTGCAACTTTAACACGGGAGTGGAGTGTATTTTCTAGTTGCCCATGTGCAGCGCTAGAGCGTGCAGCGGCGGGCGCGGGTACTAGCTAGTGGCACTGACTGGGGGGAGCGGCACACAGCACAGCCACTTTCATCGTCCCCGTCCATTGTCCCACCCTAGTGGGGGAGCACCCCTCACCCCAGCGAGGGTCTATCCCTCCCCTCTCCCCTCGGTACGCTTCAAAATTGTTAACATTAATAATGTCCCGCGACGTTTTTTATTCCTAAAGAACGTTCGTTCGGTTATTCGAACGTATAAAAACACTTCCGGTAAAATGCAACCTCATTTGAATGTGATTAGAATTTTAAAAGTGTTAAGTATTTTATACAATTTTAATTTTACATTATTTCACCGGTGTAAGATTCGTTTGGTAGCATATTGATTACGATTAGTCGCCGAGCACGGGCCACCAAAACACAACTCGGTTAATCGATATACATATAATAACAATAACTCGATATATAAATCGATAGACTTGGTTGTGATCGATACATTTAGGTACCTATCTAGTATTAAAATATTATCTCTTAAAATGTGAAACTAAACAACTCACTCTCAACCATTGGCAAAGAAAAAAAAGAAGAAAAAACAGAAAGTTAAATATAAATGAAACAGTCAATTTTACGTGAAAGCATACACTTCCATGAAGGTGAATATTAGTATGTTTAAGCGAATTTTCCTATAGGGAATTACCTATTACCGTAGGTGTCATGGTAAGACCTAGGCCCGGGACCGCTTTACTTTTTAATGTTGATGTCCAAAGAGGCCAAAAACACTGTTCCTTCAATTTTTTATATAGTGAGAGAGAAAGAGATGTGTGTCTGTGAACTCGACAATATGAGTAATTTTGGTTCGATTTTAATGAAATTTGGCTTGAAGGTGTAGGGAGGGATGAACTTGAATAAGTTCGCACCGACCATGGGAACGTGGTTTTACGGCGAGGGGGCGTTGGGGTAAAAATTGGTTATTCTTTTTTTTACCCTCAAAACACAAAATTTTCAATCTCTTGGAACCATGATAAAGAGCTGAACAAGACTTTAGTACATTCAGGAGTTTTAAGGAATAATCTTAAATTTAAAATTACAATGCTATTCTTTTGGGGAATAAGTAAACTGTTGTAGGCCTAGTTTGCTTGTTTACTAATATATTATTTTGATCAAACTTGGCAAATTATTTTATTTTATTCTAAGCTTTTGATATTTTACTAAAAACACTTTATTGCTCTCCCTGTAGCACCAAACGTAGGTACTTGTTAAACATAATGTTATTGAAATAGATTTAATTGAAAATCCAATCAGGCAGGTGGAAATTCGTGTAGTCTGCGTGTTTGCTGCAATGGAGATATTTTTGTATAAAACATTAATCCTTTTCAAAAATGTATTCTAATGACAAATTATTTTTGAAGATTAAAAAATGACTATCCATATCATATTGTATTTTCCCCCAGAGAAATTTTTGTCAAATAGTTCTATACCTAACAAAATTAAATCATAGACATTTTTAGTAACCCAACTCCATTAACACATGAATAATTGGATAACACTATGAAGTAATTCAAGTTTCACCTAATAGCTAATATGAATGAATTTAAGGTGGTGATTATTTATCATACTAATATTATAAATGTGAAAGTTTGTGAGTTTGTTTGGGGTTAAGTCACACATAACTACTGGTCTGATTGGGCTGAAATTTAACATGATGATAGCTCATATTCCCGATTAACAGGCATATTCGTATCTCAAAAATCTATACGGGCTCCGCCCCAGTGGCTCTGGAGTTTCCCATGTTAATCTTATGAGTATCTTCTATATTAAAAATTATTGGTGTTTCTTTTCCGAGTCGGTTCGATTCTTCTACCCGTTCGATTTTCATAATATTTTGTCTTAAATGAATGGTATGCACGCACAGATTTTCCATCAAACATCAGCATTCATTTATCTGACGTGGTATTTTGAGTTATAAACAAAAGCAACTTCTTCCCTGTTCATTTCGTATGGGACTAAAATTTGGTTTTTCTTTTCCGAATTAGTTTGGCTCTTCTACCCGACCAATTTTCGTAATTTTGATCTTAAATTAAAGGTATGCACACACAGATTTGCTATAAAGCATCGTCACTAATTAATTTATCTTCTGTTTTACTCGACCAAAAACATAATTTTGATTTTTAATTTCTTACTTCAATTAAAGATGCATTTCACCATGTTCTAATTACATTATCGTATATATCTTTTGGTCTAAGAACCTTCAGTGAAATACTGTACTAGCTTTCATTTGAGATATTGATTATTAAGATCGGAAATACCTGAAGCACGCTGCTGATGAATCACGAATTAACAATATTTTTATAATTATTTCAGGACTTATCTGCAATCAGTGGTACGTAGGCTGAACAAAATAGTATAACTCCCATTCCTTTTAAAATAACGTTTCAAAAGTTATTCTAAATTATGTTATTTTCCCCTTGAAATGGAAAAACTAATTTTTCAGAAAAACCCGACTCTGATCGAAAATTGTCTTTTATTCTCCTTATAATTCTAAACAAAATTGTTCAACCCCTCATTCCTGTAAAAATTAAGGTTCAAAAGTCAATGCAACTTTTGTGATTTTACCTTTTAAATATCATAATTAGTTACATTCATCGCTTACCCATGATAAAGGTTGTTGACAAGCTAATGGTAGAAAGTATGTGTCAGATTGCTGATACCGTTTATTTTATATGTCTTGGTCTAAAAATACTCCTAGAAATAAAGGCTTTTACTTGAGACATTGATCGTTTGAATCAGATCAAGATACTGTATTTACTCAATCAGAAAACACAAATTTGAATATTTCTCGGATATGGAATTTAGTTTTAGATATATTTACTCAATTCTAATTGCTTTATCCTATATGTTATGATCTAAGAACCTTAAGTGAAATATCGGCTTTATTCATTTAAATTATTGGTTGTTAAGATCGGAGGTACCTAATGCACGCTGCTGAATCACAAACAACCCAAACTGTTCCAAAAATGGAGTTATTTATCATCGATTTATAGTTAAATGATTTTGCTTCTTGAAACCCCTACAGTAACCGTCGACTTTGACGGGTTTTACTAAGTTCATATTTAAAAGAAAATACAGAATCTTCTGTTTCAACAAAATAATGTTATTCTGTGATGTTCAATAGCATTAAAAAGTTTCAAGGTTTACCAATAGGGTGCAGCATAATTCATTGTTTAAATTTATGACAGCCAATAGTCTAGTAAGCTAAAAATTAAATTTGTCTACAGTTACCTGACAAAGTGGGCTTCCTTGCACTGGTTATATAGTTCGGCCGCTTAGAAAACGACCTCCTCCAGCATTGGTTTAGCATTAGCGCGCAGGTCGTTTTCTAAGCGGCCGAACTATAGCACACAAAGTAAATAATTGCTGCATTTTGCCGCACTCCAGTATTCCAACCAAACAACACAAAACTGTGTGCTTTATTAGGCACATAATACTGTACGCTTGAAAATGTGTTGGCAACACTTAAAGATACTACAACTACGATCAGCTGGTGTTGTGTTTCCCCATTCCATTCAATGCTTAGATTTCATCGCATATGTGAATTTTTTTTGTTAGGATTTGTACATTATGAAGCGTCCTGTTTACTCTCTGACATTGTTATTGTTACATTAGTTTAAGATAGGCATAGGACTACTTACTTACATGTTATTCTCATTTGTTTATGCATATAGTGTCTAAACTATCAGACAATTGAAGTGAAGTGGGAAATTCCGAAAAAGATTATTTGTTACAATCTTAAACCACCAATAATAACCAACAACAACAGATAACTTGGGAATGTTGAAAAAAAAAATTATGCGAAGTTTGGTCTTAAATAAATCAGAAAAACACAAAAAAGACTAGTTAAAAACTTTTAGTAATTCAACTTCTAAAAGAATAAACAACTTTTAAATAAATAATGTTAATAATTAAAGGTTTACAGAAAGAATTTACTGGATGATGTAAATGTTATTGTACATTGTCATTGAAAAGTAGGATTTTGTAATTGTTGCTTTAATTACATTCAAAGGATTATAAGAACAATCTCAATTTTGTAAATATTGAAATAATCTTGTATATGCCATTACAAATAAAACTCTTAACTGATCAAAAACACCACAATTTTTAGTTTATAAAAACACTATTTTGGTACTTTTCTAAAGTCCTAAAAAGATTGTCAAATGTAATCTAGGTAAAGTTGCAATGAATCTACTAAAGCAATTGTGATTTTCAGGAATCAACAAATATGGGGCTCCAAGGCACGACGTGCAAACGCAAGCTGGAATGTGAGAGTCCAACACCAGCCAAGATGGGGCGACTAGAGGACTGGGGTAGCGACCAGTATCTGCCATCAAATGCCCGCTACCAGTACTATCCTCCCTACAACTCAGCCACCACAGAGGACTACCACCGTGGCTGCTACCCCCAGCAAACCATACGCTGCGAGGAGAACGGCAAGTCCTACCTGGACCTGGGCAGTTGGAGCGGCAACAACGGTAGGGGCAAGTGCTGTGAGGGCAGAACTAACTGGTGTGCGCGAGGTCCCTCATGCTACCGGCAGAGGCGACTGGCTGTGCTTAACATTTCTATGTGTAAGTTGGGCAGATATCGACAATTTTCCGATCCCAGTCTTCATCGTTCTGTGCTTATCTGTAATACTTTAAGATTAATAGAAAAGGAAATGGAGCAAGAAGGATACTTCTCTTCCAATAACGGTTCATCCCATCCCCCAGCGGTGGAGCAAACTCATCAGCCCCAGTTTCCTGAAGTGCCTAACCTGTACGATCCTCCTCGTGCAGCCACACCGTTCCCCTCCTCCCTCTCTGACGACTCGTCCACGTCGAGCGATGACCGCAGCATCAACTGGGGCTCCGTGCTCAGCTTGTCGAGTCAGTCCAATCTGGACCCTCTCAACAACAATGACTCGGACCCCGATATGGACGATTTCCTGCCATCGTGGAAGCTGACGACAGACGACATATTCAGGCGGTCGTCTGAATCAACAGAAATAGACAGTATAATGCATGTTCTTGTTGGTACGTGATCTTTTGCGCTCTCTTTTAGGCTTTTTTTCAAATTTTAGATTATATTTTTTCCTTCTTATTTCTTGTGCAATATAAACAAGGAAGAGCACTCCGATGGTTGTATTTGAATTTAAAGTTATGTGTAAGCTTTTTTCTATGTACATTTTTGTAAATACAATTTTCTTCTTGCCACAAATTATTTTTAGGCAACTGTCTGTCAAACAAAAATATTTTTATCTAAATGTATGGAATTGAATGAGCATTCCTTTGCATAAGCGTGTTAATTGGAACCAGAGGTGGTTTATGATTGGCAGTAAAGGTTTCTCATAGTAGTATAAATAATGGCAATAATAATTAATACCAGCATTGATTTGTTACTCTTTTGTTTAATTCTATAAAATTATAATATTCCTTTTAGAACCAAATTGAATTTTAATATTTAATATTATAATTTGAAGACAAAACAAACATTTTTTTTGCCTTGTTCAACATTATTCTTTCTTTGGAAAGATGTCTACATATTTCTAAAAGTAAAGTGGATAAAACAATATGTGCTTTCTAAAATATATTTTTAGTTCAAAACATAAAATCAAGTTACTGTATCAATGGTTTTTAATTTTCTATAAATAAATCCCATTATTTGGGATACATAACAATCATTCCGGATATTTTATGAGCATTTGGTTTTAACACTTGAAATCACCCTTGGATGAGCAGTAAGGTGTGAACAAATCAACATTCTTCTATCAAACAGGCTGGGCAAGGTTTTGCTGTAATAAGTTGTGTTAAATGGTGACTTTTAGTAATAATTTACCTAAACATTTCATGCTTTGGATAGGAGATCAATGTGATACTGATAGTTCATTTTTATACAGAACTTGGTCTTGACAAATATTCATTACATCATTCGCTACTATCAAATTTTGTTTGCTACTGTCGTCAATTTATTAACGAAAAACATTGGTGCTATTAACATGACTGTACCTCCTTTCAGTTAGCTACCACTTAATTCGCCACATTACATATTTAAGTAATAGGAATTTGTGCATTTATATAAAATGAAAGTTATCATGAGCTATAACATGACATAAAATTTATATTTATTAAAACATAAAAAATTTAAATAGTCAACAATTTGTTTTCCTAAACAAATGTTCTGATAGTAAAAAAAGTAAACATTACACAGGTTTGAAACCAGCTGCTATCAAATAAGAATCCAATGTATGACCAAACTAATAACACAAGTTAGTTGTCTGGAGTGTAGGATAGAGCCTACATTTGATGTAACAAATCTATCCTCTCTCTTTCTCAACCCAGTGAGAAACTTTCCCATAGTTTCTTGGGGAGAATGACCAAGTGCATTTGATTTGGCTTCTTGTTCTATCTCAGTTTTATTTGTAATACATTAATCAAAATTAAATCTTAAAAAGGGGAATATACTCTTGTGTTTATAAGTTAAATGATATTTGGAATTTTAAGGTAACCTATTTATCACAGTCACAATACTGAGGCGACTCTTGTGTTATTGCAAGCAATACAAATGTATTAAACTTTCATAAACAGTGAATGACCAACTGTAATTGAATAAATACTTGACCCTTCATTACTTTCCTTGAAAATAACCAAAAAATATTCTATTATGTAACCTAACTTACTGGACATGCATTTGCTTTGTGATTTAGAACTAAAATATTGCTTACAAAATAAAAACAGTTTTGTATCGATACAATAATTGTGTGTTCTTATAAAACATTGTAAAGCAGTCATTGTTACCTCCATTGATTCAAAATTTCCTTTACTTTGAAACTTGAATTTTAATTCTCATTTAATTAGTGTCTACTGTCTTATTTTTTATTTTAGTTACTTATTTTTGTTGTAAATAACTAAGCAGATTGTTATGAATTTATTTATATGTTTTGATGTATATGTACATAAGGTTTGAATATATTACAAATTATATATGTGTAAACAGTTGTACATCAAAATATCTAGTCCTTTCTCCGATATTTACTTAATATGTTATTGTGAATTGCCTACTATTGGTGATAATTAATTATTTTAGTTTTTCTGTTACAGCAATAAATAAGCTTAGCGAAGAATTGCAGATTTAGATTTAACTTTTTACTGGAATCAATGTAGTGTACAGATTAAAGAGTTAGCATACATGTTTGCATGTTGTTCATCTGTGATTAATGCAAAGAAATTTTATGTTTTATATTATAAACTGGGATACTTAATTATATAGCAAATTTAAATTGATTGACCCTGTAATATACACTTGAAAGCTCAAAAAGCAAAATTTTCATTTTATTAATTAAAATGAAGAACGTTCACTTTTCAATGTTCGGCTTAGCATATTAAATTATTGTCCTTGTTGCATCATGAATTTTTAAACAAGAATGATGTTCTGTAAAATTTGTTTACTTTCAAATAATTGCTCAAAAATCCAGGTTTACTTGTTCATTACATATAATGTAAGTTTAAAAAGGCAGTATTGCAAATCAGAGTTCTGGAGAGACTTGGTAACAATTTACAGTGTGACAACAAAGTGCATGTTAGTTACTAAAAAAGGGAAGAAGTAACTAGTAAAATATCATGATGCATTGGGTATTCAGTTCTATTTGTAGAAATTGTATTCTTGTGTGTTATATGTATTTTACTATATTTAACTGATTCTGCAAATACATAGTTTTATGTAATTCAGTCCTAGTGTTAGGACTTTAGAATATATAAGACTATTATTTCATTCACTGATGTCAGAAGGCCTACAAATGTCATGCCATTATGGAAATCTACTAATCATTCAAGATTGATGCTATATTTTTTGTGTTCAGTTTTATTACTTTTAACGTTTTAGTTCTATAACCTATTATAAAACTACATTTTTTTATACAATTTATATTTTACATTTATACAATATGATTTAGGTAAATTTGTTTATTTCTTTTAGTATTCATAGAATACAAAAAATCATAATCTGTACTGGTAGGCATAACATTTTATTTGCAACAATGTGTGTTATGGTGCTCAGTTATTTTAGTTTAGATTTGTTCAGTAAATAGACTACTGTATAAGCTATGTGCAACCATACCAATAGAATAAATTATAAAATGTCTGGGTTTTTTCTCAAATGTAGACACCGTGATAATGTAGCAAAAGTATATTATTAACTGGAGGAGTTTTTCATGGCATTACTATACCATTCTTGTAGAAGTGATTTTAATAGCTTAAGATAGGAGTCCTACATCCTGGCCTTTGCTCATATCTGTATTGTTTTTATTGTCGTCGATACTCATAATAAAAGTTAGCAATGAAACCCTTCCTTTAAATACCTGTTAAGATATTTTTGCACTAATCAATTTGTATCAATTGTTAATAGTAAAAAGTGTAAGAAGATATTTTTGCAGAATATCCACTTTCTAATTTGCATGTTTTGTTGACATAGGAAATGCATTTATTGGTTAAGTTAGCACTTTAGGGCCAAAGTTTCTACAGAGGGATTGGTGTGTAATACCATATAGTCAGAAATACAACTTGCATATGATACAAGAAAACTATTTGGACAGCGCAGACAAAAGCTTAAAACTAAAGTCATGCCACATCTTGAAAAGTTCTTTTTAGTTTTTACACATAGCTTTCAGGGCCGCGTTAAGGGTCAGTGGAGCCCTGGGCAAACACAAGAGCAGCGCCCCTTTTTTTTCCTAGTGCTGGTGGGCGGTGGTTTGGGGGCACCCAGGGCACCCCTAAACCACCGTCGCCCCCGGGCATATGCCCAGTCTGCCCGTTTATAAAAGTGTTAAGGTTAAGGTTACTTGTTGACAGTGCTTGATTTGTAAAACTTGAGGTGCCGGAACTGTAGTAACATATTTAATACATGACAAGCACATATTTATGTACCTATTTATACTAATATTTTTATCTTTCCAAAAGAGAGGTACCGAAACTCCATTCCGCCGAATTCCCCCGTAAATCGAGCACTGCTTTTTCATATTCCGAACTTAAAATTTTCTAACTTGGTTAAGTCTGTATTGATCTTGAATTACTAGCATAAAAATCATATATTTTTATTCAGAATAAATTATTTGAAAGCAGCTTTAAAAACTGTTTTATTAGTTCTAAACTGCCAAATGTCATATTGTCTAAAATGGTTGTGCTCGGAGGGTGGATTTGCCATCTACAATTTGAAATTTATTATTCATGTATAATTATAAAATCTTTTCAAAATCCACTGCATCTGTATAAATAGTTTGGCTGTCAATAACTCCGTCCTAACATTGAACTGAGCATGGGCCAGGTTAGGTGGTGCTGTGATATAGTTGTGTACAATCCTTGTATTATAACCCTAGAGTGATGTTTGCAATAATTTCTTTGTATTTTAGTGTACATAAACGTTAATACATGGTCTTAATATTTGATAAACACTTCTTTGTCAAAATGTGTACAACTTACATTGAAGTAAAAATGATTTTTTCAAATGTACAAATAAACATCTTACTGGCATCAATTTGTTATGAATTTCCCTGTTTCCGTGATGTGTTGTATCACTAATAAAACATAGTGCCATACTACAGTACTTGCTTTCGATGAGTTTCTTGCAGTCTTATTTATACTGTATTACCGTACTGTACTTAAATATAAATAATTAGTACAATTTGATGACCCATAAATTTTGTATTTGAACTGATACTTTCAAGACCCAAATTGAACTTAAATCATGTTCATAAGTTATTTTAGCAAGTTTTTTTTTTTGTCACAGTACTGATTTAACATAGCAACTCTAGCAACTTTATGGGATAAACTATTCAAATGGAAAAAAGTGTCTGTATATATAATATAAACAGGTTGCTTTGTGATTTGGTTAAATTTGAAAAATCACCCAAAATATTCCAATCTTTAAATGTACTATGAATTGTTATTTTTTTTAGACAAAAATGTCTACGAATGGTAATTTTTTTGTATTTAACACGCTCGCTACTGAGTGTCGCATATATGTGACGCTGCGGTCATTGCCACAGGCCGAGGTATACATTTGAATCTTACGCATAGACCGGCTGTCACTTGGTTAACAGTACACACAGACCACGGGCGAAAACCTGTAAAACAGTGATAATTTATATTGTAATACGCTAACGCTGCAATCGTGTTTGTAAATAATTCATTCTTGTTTTTTTGTATTTTTTATAACCTTTTGTAATGTTGCATATTTGCGACGCCCGGCCTACAGCGAAGACAATAGTGAAAATTATCATAGTTTTCTTCAAATAGCCCAAGCGCCGCATATATGCGACGGTTCATTTTTGTTTGTGTTTTGAGATGAAAGTAAGTAAAAATAAACAGATTATTCAAGAACAGTTTATAACTGAACAAATGTAAAAGCTACATAGGATAACACAGCACACATGCTGCATACATACATACAGTGATGCAGAAAAGTAAAGACAACTTTTTCCAGCTATCATATGACGTCACCAATCATCATATCCACAGACCAAGCGACACAGTTGTGCGTCAGACATCTCTGTAGACCACTGCAGGGAATTCAGGGCCTTCAAATGGACCGTTACAAAGATAAAAGCATTTTAATAACATAGAACCCCGACGCAAATATGCGACAGCAGTCTATTTTAATGTGACTAGCCGTCGCATACATGCGACGGCAGTCTATGGGTAGAAACCGGCCGTCGCATATGAGCTGCGCTGGTCCACGTGAATGAAAAAATTTGTACTATTGCAGTAGTAAACGTTTTAAACACAGTTAAGTGGTGAAATAATTTTTCTTGAGACCTTAACAGAAATTTACATACTAAAGCACAAAGTAATCTTTAGCTGCAAATTAGCTGTTGTCATAAATTAAAAAAAATAATTGTGCTGCACCCTGTTGGTAATCCTTGTAACTTAAATGCTATTGAACGTCATAGAACAGAACCAACTTGTTTAATTGAAACAGCTGTTAAGGTTCATTAATTCCTTTTAAATATGCAAAATCATAAGGTTAACATGGGAAACTCCAGAGCCACTGGGGCGGAGCCCGAAAGCCCGATCAGAATAAACTTAGTTTTCCTATTTAATGCCCAAAGAATCGGTGTACCGAATTTCAGCCTCCTAGGTAAATGGGAAGTGGGAGAATTAGTGATGAGTGAGTGAGTCAGTGAGGGCTTTGCCTTTTATATATTTAGATGAATCGGCTGGATTATAATATATCCCACCTTTTACTGTTTTTTATGTTAACTAAAAACCATTAAAACCTCCTGATGTAAATTACCTGAATCTTATACATACAAAGAGGTGTGTTTGTGATCACCACAGAAAATAAATAAACCCATAAGGACTAAGCAGTACAATATATTAATCATTGACTTTGAATAGTATGTTTAATCTATAGTTTAGTCATAAGCATAAGTGAGTATGTTTATTGTATGGTTTAGCCTAAGGCTGAAGAATTTAAAAGTTAATTAGTTCCGCCAGGTTTATTTAGAGGGTGTTTTATGGTTTTAATGAGCTAGAAATACAACTGGTACACTGGTGGTTGCTGGCACTGGCACAGCAACTCTGCTAGCTAGAGCGCTATTACAAATTTTGTTACGTTGGTACAAGCTAGGGAATCAACCAGCTCATGGTTCAGAATACAGAATACTTAACTCATAAGCATCAAGCACAGAATTGTGTCAATAAAAGTTTTGTTACAGGAGAAGATACATGAAAAGTGTCTAATCGTAGAAGGGGTCTTGCACGGGCCGTGAACTCTTCAAGGCTGTAAATTGGAGAGTCAGCAAGCCAATTACAGATTCACTTCCTCAATGTTGTGGACCTCTTTGACACTCTGGGGAATACTTTAATACTTTTCTTTAATACTTTTAATGGCGACCATACAAAGTAGGTATTTTAAGCCAAGTATGAACGGAGATGAGTGTAGGATGAGTGGCGCGATCTTGTAGTCTTGTTAGTAAGGCCGACATATTCATTAGACACAGCTGTTAATTAATAGCCCATACAGCTAATGGAAACTAAGGGACCTACAGTTTATAGTGGAATCCAAACCACATTTTTCCAGCATACGGATTCTTTGAGAAGAGTCCTGCTGTGGGCAAGTAGATGGAAATCCATTGCGACTCGTTTTGTAACTGTCAAAGGCAACATGCTTGGACAATGAGACGTTTATTGCATAAGTAATTGTCTCCAAGATGTAAATCGAGACGGCGGTGAATATGCGTAAGCTCCGTAAGGTTTCTCCGCAGCATTCCCATGGGTGAAGGCCGACCATTATTCACATTGCTTCCTTCTGGATCACCAACAAACGTTGTGTTGTGAAGACCCACCCCAAAAATTATCATGTATCTGAGATGGGATTCAAACAAAACGTGGTAGAATGTTCTTGTTGTTTCATAGGTGCTGTCACATCAAACCCTTTTTAATGCACATTTTGCAGAGCTGAGTTAAGTGCTTCAACTAACATGCTAATTCCAAACGAGTTTTTCATCTACTAAACCACTCTCAATCCTTTTGTGAACGTGCACGTTAAAATTTTAGGAGGGTCAGAAACTTAATTTGGAATTCTTTGTATATTAAATGTGTGGTTTTATCTATGTCAAAGAGCAGGTCGTTATTAACATATTAGTCATGCGTCAGATTTAGTGCGATGAAACTATCTACTTCTGGTTTTGCTGTTTTCTTGTAGGTCAAATAGGACAGTGTAATCAGCGAACAATACCACTTTGCAGAACTCGTTGGCACTGGAAATCAGCGGTAAGGCGTCCGTAACCAAGCCTTGGGAAACACCTCTGTAATGGAATGACATGTGATTTAGTAATTATTTGTATGTTTATTCATATTACTATGGTTAGCAGGGGTTACTATGATGTTGACTTGTTTTGAAGTGAGTTGTTAAGTTAGTTTAATGTTAAATAAAAGTTCTTAGAAGAATTAGTTTTATTCTATCTTTACATGGTGGCAGCGTTTAGGCTAAAGAAGAATATTTGACAATGGAATTGACACCAGTAGTACTGAAAGATATAATAAACTCTGTTCTAAATACAAAAATGAGCAAAGAAGCTAAATCTAGGCAAAAACCTATGTACCAAGTCAAACCTCCTGATCCTTTTAACTTCCAAGATCCAGCCAGAGGTGCCCATCCCCCCCAAACCCAGAGGCGCAACCCCCCCCCCCCCAAGCCAAAGGAGTAGTTCTCCCCCCCCAATTTATGCTGCCGTCTATTTAAACCTACCCTCCCCCCACCAATTTATCTGACAATTTTCCCTTTACCTCATAAAACGATCATTCCAATTTAGTATTTAGTAAACTTGAGGTAAAGAAAAACAAACTTGCTGATAACAAAATTTAAATGTTTAATAGGAAACGAACAACATTTAACAATACTTCATTAGGTATATCTAACTAATGGACGAATTAGAAGTGTTTCAATTTACATTTCAGAATCTCTATTGTCAGCTAACATGTGTTCAGTATTGCAATAGACAACGTCTTCAAAACGTACAACAATATACTAGGTGAATTACTCTACTCCAACACAGTATTGTAACTGTACAATATATTAGGTGGCGTTAAATTTTACAGAGAAAGAATCTCAGAGAAGAATTTTAAGAAATCAAACCGCTTTAAAAATGCATTAATAATACTTTGGCAAAGTTTTTTTTTTCAAAATTATAGACAGTCACGAAATAAGACAGACTTGTTGCTCGCCACTCCCTGGCTCTACAAACACCGCCACTCCAAACAACACACTCCAAAAACTCGATTTTACTCTACAAAAAATCGCCAGGCAAAATACCCACAAAAGGTTTTTGTGACGAAGTAATCTTATAATTAATTTTGATAGCCCCAGGATTGCCTTTTATGACTAATAATGGTAGAAACGCATCTTGTCAGACAATCTGTTTATACACAAAACACGAAACGATAACAGATAGGCCTATCAATTCACGTCAGTATATTGCCGCGGGCAGGACTGGAAGTAAACTGAATCAGGTTATGACGGAAAGACGTGGTCTCTGGATTGTCGTCTGTGTTATCAAAAGCTGATATTGGACTAGTTGTAGTGACGGAGGAGAGTGTTGAAAATATAATGGGATTCATAATTGAGTTTTCCATTTAAAATTATTGAAAATAATAACCAATTTATCTGCTGGATATAAATTATGGTCTCGAAATTCTACAGTAGTGCACTAAAGGAAATTTATTAAATACTTTGAGGAGTTTGAAATATATAAATACATAAAACTAGGGACAGCGCAAAAGTTTTGAGTGAAAGTGAAAACACTCAATTAATTATGAATCCCATTATACTTTTAACACTCTTCTCAGTCACTACAATAGTCCTATATCAGCTGGTGACAATGCAGACGACAATCCAGAGACCACGTCTGTCCGTCATAACCTGAACCTGATTCAGTTTACTTCCAGTTCTGACGACGGCAATATATACGCGTGAATTGATAGGCCTATCTGTAATCGATTCGTGTTTTGTGTGGTGGAGGTAAAGAACC